ATGCTTATTCGCGGATCTTTGTTAATTAAAATCTCAGTAACTATTGCGAATCTAGCAAAATGGTATAGGACTTTTCACCTAAGTTTTATTCCTTCTACCTGCCTACGAGAGATGTTAAACCAATTCTAGGACACCCTGTATAGCTTGTCTACTTTTGCAAAAGGCGGGAAACCGTTGTATAACGGTAGCGCGTTGCTCGCCTCTCTCGGACGCGAATCCTTGCTACGTTTAAATATTCTTTATTGCAAGGATTCGCGTCATTATTCCCCGATATTAAATTTAAGAGCGGCGGCGAGGAGTAAGGGATATTGCATTCCTTGCAACTTGCCTTATCGTCTCGGACGAAGAGTTCATCGCTGCTTGCATAAATGTCCACGTTGTCGCGGGGTGCCGTCGTGCGAATCGGAAGAGATAGAATTAATTAGATGCGAGCGATGCAGAAAAACGTTTTACGGGCGCGAGTGTCTCGAACGTCACCGGGCCGGAAAATTGTACAAAGATGGGTGGGTGAGCGTGTGCAGCGCCTTGCAATTCTGTGACGATTGCGGGCGGGTGTACAGAACAGCGGGTGCGAGGCACAAATGCGGCGTTGTGTTTTGCAACATTTGCAGTTCGCGCCGAAAGGTGCGAAAAATGTAACATTTTTGTTACATTTGCCCTCTCGCGCAAAAATTTCACCGGGAAAGGGAAAAACACGCGCGTCGCATTCATGTTTTACGATTTCGAGACCCGGCAGGACGAGACGCTTGAGGGTGGCGAGACCGCGTCAATGACAGTTCACGTGCCGACTCTCTGCATCGCGCAGCAGATTTGCGTCACGTGCGCGCATGAGGACGACATGACGGTGCGTTGTCGGTGGTGCGGTATACGCGAATTTGTGTTTTGCGATGATCCGGTGGAGCAATTCGTCGATTTTGCTACAAGAACGACGAAATGTTTCAAGCAGATCATCTGCATCGCGCACAACGCCAAGGCGTTCGACGCGCAGTTTATTCTGCGTTACATCGCAGAAAAACGCGTCGAATTAGATCCGCGAGTAATATTAAACGGGACAAAGATCATCGTATTAACGGTCGAGCGTACGAAATTTATCGACAACATCAATTACATGCCGATGCGTTTATCAGCTTTGCCGAAAGCTTTTGGTTTGCGAGATAGTGTGGAGAAAGGATATTTTCCACATTTATTTAACACTCTCGCGAATCAATCGTACGTCGGTCCGTTATCATCCGTTGAATATTACTCGCCCGACAATATGTCCAGCGAAGAACGCGAGCGTTTTTTATCGTGGCACGCGGAACAGACGTGCAAAAACGCAGTCTTTGATTTCCAACGCAAGATAGTGCGTTATTGTCGTAACGACGTCGATATCCTGCGACAATCGTGCATGGCCTTCCGCAAGATATTTCTCGAGCAAGGAAATGTATGCCCGTTCGAAGACTGCACGACCATCGCTTCCACGTGTATGCGTGTTTTCCGTAAAAACTTTTTACGTGAGAAAGAGATAGGCGTCATTCCTCGCGGCGGATATTGTCTCGCGGATACGCAATCCCGCAAAGCTCTGCAGTAGCTTGTGTGGAAGGAGCGCGAGCTCGCACCATTGTTCACGCAGGGCACGGGCAAGAACAGCGTCTTGCGGAAGTCGGTGGCATTCCCGTCGACGGATATTACGAGACGACGACGACGAACGGAGAGGGTCACGTGTTGCAATATCACGGCTGCTTTTGGCATGGTTGTCGCATGTTTCAAAACAGAGCGCGACAATCGTCTCTGTACGGGAGATTGCGAAGTCCACGATACGATGAACTCGCAATACGAGCGCACGCTAACAATGTCATGGCGTCTTCGCAAGCGGGGCTACATTGTGACGGAGAAATGAGAGTGCGCTTTTGATCGCGATGCAGGAAAATCGGGAAATGCGAGCATGTGTAGAACAACATTCGATGCTCGCAGCTAAACCACTCGCACCTCGCGACGCGTTTTTTGGCGATCAAACAGGAAACATTGCGATTCGGCGCGAAGTTACGGAGAGTACGGAGAAAATACGTTACGTAGACGTGTGTTCTTTATACCCTTACGTGTTGAAAACCGGTGCTTTNCCGATTGGACATCCGAAAATTCTCGTCGGGGAGGAAGAATGTGCTTTGCTCATCGGAGCGATGCCCAGTGTCGATTTTCCCGCGGTCGAGGGGCTTGTGCGTTATAGAGTGCTCCCCCCGCGCAATCTCTTTCACCCTGTACTCCCGTACCGCGTGCAGGGCAAACTGCTGTTCGCTTTGTGTCGCAGTTGCTGCAAAAACTTCTCGCAGACTCCGTGCTTGCACGATAATCCGCGCGATCGCGAATTCACGGGCGTATGGGTATTGTGCGAATTACGCAAAGCGTGAAGAAAGGCTATCTCGTGACCGCGGTGAGCGAGATATGGCAATATGATCCCGGTACGCGTCAGGGGGGATTATTCGCCGAATACATCAACTGCTTCCTCAAATTGTAGCAAGAGGCGAGCGGGTGGCCGAACGAATGCGTGAATGACGAATCTAAAGAGCGATATCTTTGAGAATACGAAGCAGTCGAGGGTATTGCTCTAGATAGAGGAAACATCGCGCAAAATCCGGGTTTACGCTCGGTCGCGAAGCTCTGTCTCAATTCGTTTTGGGGAAAATTCGGCCAACGATCAAACCTGAAGAGTACCGAGGTGGTGAAGTCACAGGAACGCCTCGTATCGCTATTGTCGAGCCCCGAGCATGAGGTAACCAATACATTACCTGTGAATGACGAGGTAATATGGCGAATGAGGGACGAGACGGTCGTATCCTCTCCGATTACCAACGTCGTAATAGCGGCATACACGACGGCACAGGCGCGATTAACTGTACGAATACTTAGAACATTTAGGCGAGCGCGTTCTTCATTACGATACAGATTCGTGTATTTATGTAAGCAGCGGTAAACCCGGCGAATACGAACCGCGTACGGGAAATTTCTTGGGCGACATGACGGACGAACTCGAAGGCTACGGGCGCGGTAGTTACATCGAGTCGTTTGTATCCGGTGGTTCGAAATTTTACGTGTACGTAGTTCGTACTCCAAACGGTAGCGCGTAGGAGGTATGTAAAATCAAGGGAATAACCCTTAATTCCGCATCCTTCCGCATAATTAATTTCAACAGCGTTAGAGAAATGTTGATGCAAAGAGAGAAAAAAGAACAAGGAGAAAATAATCCATCGATAAATCTACATCTTAGGGCGAACATTATTTGCCGTACCGCGTTTTACGAAGTTGTGACGCGGGACGAATCAAAAATTTGCTCGCCGGTTTTGCTGAAACGTAGATTTATCGAGGAACGACGCTTCGTATGGTTATTTAGAATAAACCTTTTTTCTTTCCGCGCGTCAACATTCTTGTAAATAAATAGATTGTATAATGTAAACATATTAGTAATAATTAAAAAAATCAAGTATATATGCGTATATATGTTTTCCGTAATAAATTAAAAAAATAATGTAAGCACTTGTACAAATAATAATAAAAAATATAAATTGTAAGAGTTATTTTAAGAACAAATACATAGAAAATGTATTAAAATGTAAATGAAAATGTATTTTAGATGTAAGTTTCTTTGTACACTTAGTTGTAGTGAGTAAGGTTAGGTTAGGTTAAGTAATATTTGTAATACGTGTATATAACATTTTATGATTTTATTTTGTAAACATATTTGTATAAATAAATTATTTGTATTTTTACTAAAAAGTAGTACAAGATGTAAAAAATATATAAAACTTAAAATATATAAAAAAGGAGTAACTTTTTTCCTATCTTTCATCACCATTTAAGATATTGTCAATGGAACGCTAATAAGCTTATTAGCGCGCGCGCGTTTGACGAGCTTATCTTTTCGCGCGAAATAAGCTCACCGCCGTTGCCGCGAGGAAAATTAGCTGATTGTCGCGGCAAAATGCGCTAAACCGCGGCCCACGCGCGATAGTAAGCTCATCGTCGCAAACCGAAAACAATTTAATTTAACCCTTTCGCGGCGGAGCGCTCAGAAATGAATTGCGCTCTAAGCAGCCGGCGTGACGGTGGAAGGTCGAACGCGCGGACAACACGATACGCGAGTCGTTCCTAACGCGGTGTGCAGAGCCGATTTTGCTGGTCATTTCCTTGAAGCTGTTGGCCGGCGCGCCGATCAAACAATAATATTAATAATAACTGATAACAAGTGAACAGCGCCAAAAGGCGCTGTTTGCTCGGAAC